CCACTTCCCAATTCAGGATGCAACGGTAGCTTGGCTCCGCTTCTTTCACCTGGCTGGTGCAACCACACTGAGCGAACGAGGAGCCATGCTGACGGTGATATTGGATTGGAAAGCACTAGTTAACAATCTGGTGGCCAAATGCTCCACAGAACGGCAGGAAAGCACAGGGAAGTGGGAATCCAACAAATCCTAAAATAGTTTATTTTATATAAACAACACAACACATATACAGTTGTTTTGCATTTCAAAGGCACACCTCCACCCGGTGGCCTCCGGCAGACGCCATGGTGTCGGTGCCGCCCACAGGCGGCCTTAGCGCGGAGGATGACTTGGATCGCACGCCTCTGGCGCGGCAGGTGCAGGGCCTCGACAGTGGTCGGACGGTCGAGGCGGGTTTCACGTCAGAGTCATGGCAGGGTCAGGTTGTCTTGGCGCCATGCCATTCCATGCTGCTCTTTCCAAAAAAGTACGAAATGTGGACTCTTGATTAATAAACCAGAATGAACCTCTCCATATGAAAAAAGCGCTTCAATCCAAATGACATCAAGAGTCTACATGAATTAATCAAGCACTTAGCAGCTATTCTTTTGGATGGGGGTTCACGGACGGGTCGCCGGCTCAGACGCTCGAATGAGCGTGATAGGCTCAGCTCGGCTCTCGGGTATCCATCAGTCTCCGGCTGTCGATGTGCGCCCATCGCCGCTTGTAAGTCAGGATGCAGATCGCGTTCCGGTGGATGCCCCAGTACGAAGTGGCCAAGAGGAGGAAGAGGAGGCCAGTGAGCCCCGTTTTTCATCCCTTCTGTTCTGTGGGATGTATCATGATGGATCTCCTATGTTTACACTCCCATTTGCTCGGCAATCGACTTGATTTTGGTGTTTTCTCTCAACATTTGGGACTTATTGACAGAGTGAAAAACCGACCTTCCATGTTCATCGCTCCAACCGGTCACCTGTTCGACCCTGAACGACCGGGTTCCGGCGGCAGATCTTTGAGATCCGCGACTTCACCAATGCGTCCAGCGTCCTGGCTGCGGGGCGTGAAACGCCAGGCGTGAAACGCCAGGCCTTCCGCGGTGAAGCTGCGGGTTCGAGGTTTTGGGTGCATGCATGTCCCGGAAGAACTGGGTGAAACGCCATCTTTTTGCTCCGGCTTCGATGTTTCTAGACTTTCTGTTCCCCGGCTTCCAGCGGATCCGCAGCCGGCCAAACTGGCGCAGCTGGCGTCTTCCCAAGGCTTCGAGCGCTTGTCACACCAGATCTCCTTGGCGAGCAAGCATTGGGCGGCCGCCAGTCGCGCAGCCACCACTGGTGCCAGTGGCGCCAGTGAGGAGGTGCTGCAGATGAAGGATGGCTTTGAACTTGGGGGCTTCAGGCAGGGAGACGACCTCGGTTGGGGTGGTTGGGGTGGCAGAGTTGGGTGGTTTGTTTTGGCAAACATCTAGGAAACAAACCATCTTCGCAGCAGAAAGACCTTTTGAACACCACATCAGACCTGGGTCCCGATGATTTCACCGCGAATCGCCTTCAGACGTCGGAAGAAGCCTCCGCGTCGTGAAGCCTCCGCGTGTGTCGCGGGAGACCCCGCGTTGGTCAAGTGGGTAGCCGCAGGTCACGTGGTGAAGACGCACGAGACGATGCGTAGGATGCAAAGACATGGAGCTGAGCTCTGAAACTGTTGTGGTTGCTGAAGGAGTGATACAACTGCAGAGCCTTGTTTGCCGGCGACACGACAGAACACATGGGGCAAGCCATAGGAGCATCCACAGACACAAAGAACACATAAGAACACCGTGACCCGACTGCTCCAGTCCAAGTATGTCCGTGTAGTATGCAGGTGTTCTTGTATTGAGCGGTGTATGAGGATATCAGTCATAAGCTCTGCAGAGCAGAGATTCTGGAAGCTACAGGACATGTCGCACACTTTGCGCGAATAAATAGAGAATTTTTGTTGCGCTTGACCTTGGAACTTGCAAACATTGCCAAGTTGAGCAACTCCTCGCCAGCTTTGTACAAGGCAGATGCGACAGAAATATGTCACTTTTGTTGGAATGGGCATGGCAGAACGGGAATTCTGGAAGCTGGAGGACATG